TCCCTGCAAATCTCATGACACTTTTGCCCGTGATGTCCCGTCGCTCTCTCTCCCTGCCCCCCCCAGGCCCCCTCCATGTCCTGGTAAATCTGGAATCTGAATCTTGTGTAATTTCTTTGTGGGTATGACTTTTTAAGGATTCTGTGTGGAAAAGGGGAATACGTTGGGTGGAAGAAATAAATACATTTTTGCCTGTCTTTTTTCTTTTCTTTTGAAACTCCCTGTTGATGTTTCTTTTTGTTCTTTGGGTTTTTTTAAAAAAATATACTGTGGGTTTCCCTTCTTTTTCTGCACGCTAGCTTGGATTCGTCTTCTTTTTCCTTTTTTGTTCTGTTTTTTTCTTGGGACATACGACAAAAATAAAAGTGTCCCCCCCTCCCGTGTTTGTATATATTCCTTCGGCGAAAGGAAGAATGAAAAGAGAAGAGCTTTGTTTGCTTAATGTGTTTATTAATCACTTGACCTACATTAACAGGAACTGAGAAAAAAAATAATTCTGTATTGAAGATGTAATAGCTGTGCCTTTTCAAATAAAGAAATCAGATGGTTGGTTATAATGTGATAATTCCTTCTTCTTCTTTTTTGTACCCTCCTTTTATACTTCCGTCTTCTTTTCTCCTTCCATTTTTTTTCCATTCCAAAGCAGGAAGCTTTGTTTTGCTATGTCACCACAAGAGGGAGCTCCTCTCTTTGCTATGAGCTGCTCTTGAGCACCACTGGTGGTGGATGGTGGTACTACATCGGCTGATTTAATTTGACTGTCTGAGACAACAAAAACAGCCGGTGGGAATGCTCTTGGACTTCGCTCTTTGGCGTGAAAAAATAAAGCTCTGAAGGTGGTAACGAAGAAGCTGGCCTTTCTTCGTCAGGATTGCACCACAACAGTCAAGGGGGAAGGGTAAAATTGCAAGGGATTATGCTTTGTGGGTGCTTTGGGGGAGTTCATGCGTCCGTGGGGCATTGGAAAATACAGATTCGTTTATCGTTCTCATTGCTTGGAGTCCCATCAGTCAGGTCTTTAAAAAAGTTTTAATAGTTTAAATGCATGAAGGCTGGATTTAACATGAGGGATCTGTGGTAGGGGGTGCCACTCCACCCTGTGAGCACCTCTGAGCCCTTGAATCTACCCAGTGGTCACCCTGGGAAGTTATACATACCCCTGATCGAGTCTTCGTCCACAGAGATCTCACCATGGGCGCATCCCGCCTTCCTTCCCAACCCTGACCTTGATTCTGTCCCTCTGCTGATTGCCCTCCCCTCTTACCCCCTCCTTGGTCCCTCACCGGCGCTTGATTCCATTGACCGCAGCCAAGTGCTTCCCCTCGCCTGTGGATCCGGAAAGCTTTGTCAAGATGGAGTGCGTTGGCTTCCTCTCCCGGCGCATCACTAATGCAAGAGTCGAACCAGCCGCGGAGAGGCGGGTTCGGTGGTGGTGAGGAAGCTGAATCA